GAACCTTCGCGTTGGTACGTTCGTGTTAGAATTTCCGCGTTAGTACCTCCGCGTTAGTACCTCCGTGTTAGAACCTCCGTGTTAGAACCTCCGTGTTAGAACCTCCGTGTTAGAACCTCCGCGTTAATATGTCCGTGTTAGAACCTCCGCGTTAGTACCTCCGTGTTAGAACCTCCGTGTTAGAACCTCCGCGTTAGAACCTCCGTGTTAGAACTTCCGTGTTAGTATCTCCGCGTTAGCACGTCCGTGTTAGAACCTTCGCGTTGGTACGTTCGTGTTAGAATTTCCGCGTTAGTACCTCCGCGTTAGAACCTCCTTGTTAGAACCTCCGTGTTAGAACCTCCGCGTTAGTAGGTCCGTGTTAGAACGTCCCCGTTAGTACGTCCGTGTTAGAACCTCCGCGTTAGAACCTCCGAGTTAGAACCTCCGCGTTAGTACGTCCGTGTTAGAACCTCCGCGTTAGAACCTCCGTGTTAGAACCTCCGCGTTAGAACCTCCGCGTTAAAACCTCCGCGTTAGTACGTCCGCGTTAGTACCTCCGTATTAGAACCTCCGCGAAGAACCTACGTGTTAGAACCTCCGCGTTAGAACCTCCGCGTTAGAACCTCCGCGTTAGAACCTCCGTGTTAGAACCTCCGCGTTAGTACGTCCGCTCGCTCTCAGCCCCTTTGCGTGTTGCCATTAGTGGGGGGCGCGGGGGGGATGCGATGCGAGGCACACAGCAAGCTGGGCAAACCAGAAGCAACCAGTCCAGCAAGTGAGCCTCAAGGGCAAAAAGGTTGCCCTGACTTTTTGTGACGCCGTGTGACGAAGGGGGGGGGGGGGGGGGGGGTGGGGGGTCAAAAAATCGTCCAGAATCCCGTGACGTCATTTATGGCCCGGCCCCCCCCCCCCCCCCCCCCCCCCCCCCCCCCCCCGTGTCGCGGTTAGTGCGCTGAACCCTAGACCTGGCAACCCAAGTTCGATTCCCGCTCACGGCCATCAACAACCGGTGACGATCATCTGAACCGGTCCTGGGCCTCCCCTAGGTCGACTCAGCCTTTTTTAATGAGTGCATGCCAGTGCGGTGTGTAGCAAAGGTCGTCACCGGGGGAGACAAAGGCGGCCGGGCGTGCTGCTACTCGCTAACAGCGCTTGAGCCAACAGCGGGAGGGATCTTTATTCTCCGGGTCGTCTGGTTCCCGCTCCCGTTTGAGGATTCATGAACCCATTTGTGGTGGTGGTTGTAGTGGGTGTTGTGGTGAATCTGGTCGTGGTGGTGGTTGCTGTAGTGGTGGTGGTGAATGTGGTGGTGGTTGCTGTAGTGGGTGTTGTGGTGAATCTGGTGGTGGTTGCTGTAGTGGTGGTGGTGAATGTGGTGGTAATGGTTGCTGTGGTGGTGGTGGTGGTTGTTGGAGTGGTAGTGGTTGTGGTGGCGAATGTGGTTGTTGTTGTTGTTGTGGTTGTCATAGGGGTGGTGGTTGTGGTGGTGAATGTGGTTGTTGTTGTGGTGGTGGTGGTGGTGGTTGTGGCGGTGTTGTTGGTTGTGGTGGTGTGTGAATGTTGGAGTATGACGACATTCAGAGGTGATGCCGGCAAACAGCACTTGCCCCAACAGTCTGTTAAAAACTACAGAATGTCTTTGTCTTGTGTGTGCATGTACGTGCGTGTGTGCATGTACGTGTGTGTGCATGTACGTGTGTGTGTGCATGTACGTGTGTGTGCATGTACGTGTGTGTGCATGTACGTGTGTGTGCATGTACGTGTGTATGTGCATGTACGTGTGTGTGCATGTACATGTGTGTACGTGTGTGTGTGTGCATGTACGTGTGTGTGCATGTACGTGTGTGTTCATGTACGTGTGTGTGTGCATGTACGTGTGTGTGCGTGTACGTGTGTGCATGTACGTGTGTGTGCGTGTACGTGTGTGTGCATGTACGTGTGTGTGTGTGCATGTACGTGTGTGTGTGCATGCACGTGTGTGTGCATGTACGTGTGTGTGCATGTACGTGTGTGTGTGTGTGTGTGCATGTACTTGTCGGTGTGTGATTCCTGCTCTCGATCAACACCAGTGACGATTATCTGAACCGGTCCTGGGCCTCCCCTAGGGAGACAAAGGCGGCCGGGCGTGGTGCTGGCCACCAATTCCCTCATGTTGTGTGCCGACCTTAATAGGTGCTGCTACTCGCTTAAGAGCACTTGCCCCAACAGTCTGTTAAAGGCTATACGGGGATCTTTGTCTTTGTGTCGATGATTCGCATGTTCGTATACTTCAGTTGACCGTTCTGCTATAGCGATGCCATTTCCACATTCCGATGGCAGGAGCCCATGATTCCATAACTTGGTCTCATAGCCTATATTCAGCTTAACATAAAATAAAATCTCTTTTTTTTATTATTTTCTATCTACGTGACTTTAGCGAAAGAACCAAAGAATATTAATTCCTGCAGTCACGAAAGCTTTAAGTCAAGATATAAACGTTCTATAGTAAATACCGTATTTATTATGAATGTGTCATTAAGGCGACAACAATGTTACACATACATTCACCTACTCACGCACTCACTCAACCACCCACTCAACTACTCACTCACCCATTCACTCTACTTCCGCACTCATCCACCCACTCACTAACCTACTTAGCCACTTACTCACCCATTCACCTACTCACCCACTCATCCATTCACCGACTCACCCATTTACTCACGCATTCACTCAACTACTCTCCCACTCATTCACCCACTCACTCGCTCACCCACTCACCGAGTCACCGGCTCACCCATTTACTCACCCATTCACGCAACTACTCTTCCACTCATCCACCCACTCACTCGCTCACCCACTCACCCATTCATCGACTCACCCATTTACTCACCCATTCACTCAACTACTCTCCCACTCATCCACCCACTCACTCGCTCACCCAATTACCCATTCACTGACTCACCCATTTACTCACTCATTCACTCAACTACTCTCACACTCATCCACCCACTCACTCGCTCACCCACTCACCGAGTCACCGGCTCACGCATTTACTCACCCATTCACTCAACTGCTCTCCCCCTCATCCACCCACTCACTCGCTCACCAACTCACCGAGTCACCGGCTCACCCATTTACTCACCCATTCACTCAACTGCTCTCCCACTCATCCACCCACTCACTCGCTCATCCACTCACCCATTCACTGACTCACCCATTTACTCACCCATTCACTCAACTATTCTCCCACTCATCCACCCACTCACTCGCTCACCCACTCACCCATTCATCCACTCACCCATTTACTCACCCATTCACTCAACTGCACTCCCACTCATCCACCCACTCACTCGCTCACCCACTCACCCATTCACCGGCTCACCCATTTACTCACCCACTCACTCAACTACTCTCCCACTCATCCACCCACTCACTCACTCACCCACTTACCGAGTCATCCACCCACCCACTCCTCCACTCATCCACCCATCATAAACAGTGTAGTGGCCTTCGAAAGGAACATACCCAGTATTGTACAACAATAACATGTCACTGGCGACGTTTCGGGCAATGGCCCTTCACAGCAGAAGACCCTTTCTCCGAAATATCGCCTGTTATTATATATCTAATTATTAGATAGTTAATATATCGTACAGGGCATCCTCTTTTTACTAACGAGTTAGGTTCCAGAGGTCTGTTCGTAAGTCGATTTGGTCGTAAGTCCAACTTTACCACTGTCGATTCCAAACGTATTGTGCGGCGTGTACACTAAACACGGGGAATGGCTTTACAAGTTGTATCATCTCCTGCATATGTAGATGCCACTGGTTCTTCACGTTCTGCAGATGTAGATGCCACTGGTTCTTCACGTTCTGCAGATGTAGATGCCACTGGTTCTTCACGTTCTGCAGATGTAGATGCCGTTGGTTCTTCACGTTCTGCAGATGTAGATGCCACTGGTTCTTCACGTTCTGCAGATGTAGATGCCACTGGTTCTTCACGTTCTGCAGATGTAGATGCCACTGGTTCTTCACGTTCTGCAGATGTAGATGCCGTTGGTTCTTCACGTTCTGCAGATGTAGATGTCACTGGTTCTTCACGTTCTGCAGATGTAGATGCCACTGGTTCTTCACGTTCTGTAGATGTAGATGCCGTTGGTTCTTCACGTTCTGCAGATGTAGATGCCACTGGTTCTTCACGTTCTGCAGATGTAGATGCCACTGGTTCTTCACGTTCTGCAGATGTAGATGCCACTGGTTCTTCACGTTCTGCAGATGTAGATGCCGTTGGTTCTTCACGTTCTGCAGATGTAGATGCCACTGGTTCTTCACGTTCTGCAGATGTAGATGCCACTGGTTCTTCACGTTCTGCAGATGTAGATGCCACTGGTTCTTCACGTTCTGCAGATGTAGATGCCGTTGGTTCTTCACGTTCTGCAGATGTAGATGCCACTGGTTCTTCACGTTCTGCAGATGTAGATGTCGTTGGTTCTTCACGTTCTGCAGATGTAGATGCCACTGGTTCTTCACGTTCAGCAGATGTAGATGCCACTGGTTCTTCACGTTCTGCAGATGTAGATGCCACTGGTTCTTCACGCTCTGCAGATGTAGATGCCACTGGTTCTTCACGTTCTGCAGATGTAGATGCCACTGGTTCTTCACGCTCTGCAGATGTAGATGCCACTGGTTCTTCACGTTCTGCAGATGTAGATGCCACTGGTTCTTCGCGATCTACAGATGTAGATGCCACTGGTTCTTCATGTTCTGCAGATGTAGATACCACTGGTTCTTCACGTTCTGCAGATGTAGATGCCACTGGCTCTTCACGTTCTGCAGATGTAGATGCCACCACCGCCGTCAATTGCGTGGTGGTTAAACTTACGACTCTCGGTCCAAACAGGCAACTGGACATACGAGCAGGTTTGTTCGTATCTCTGAAAGTTCGCATTTTAAGTGTTCGTAAGTAGAGGCCTTTTTGTGCACTGCTCACACCAAGATATGGACAGGAGGACACGCCCCCGTAACACAAAACTCCGCCCCCTCACATCCCCATCCACCCCCGCCCCAACAAAACCAACGCAACCCATTGGCTAATCGAGCGGGCGAGGGTGGGGATGTAGAGAGAAGGGGGCGTGTTGTATGCAAATTTATTATGGACACTTATCCACCACATGAGCTTCTGTGTGCGATGTGAAATTCTTACACATTGAGTGAGCGACGTCTGTGGGTTAGCGCACCGCTCCTAGTAGTAGTGTTGTGTGGTGTGTGTTGTTGAGTATGTTGGGGTGTTGTGAGTGTGTGTGTGACGACCTGTCATCACGCATCGCTAGCTAGTCGATGTGATATCTAATTGGTGATTGGCTCTTCGTCTGCCCAACATTATAACTATCAATATTTAACCTCACTATATAATACCACCTCCTGCTTCTGCTGGCATCTGGAAGCGGTATCGTAAGTACTTGTACTTATTTACGATCGTTAGTTGAGCGTTGTCCTTCCCGCCTTACCTCCGATGAGCACGGTTGGGTAGGTACGGTGCGAAAGAAGTTCACCACACATGCAATACATAGTCTCACGAAACAACCACAATTAACACCTTGCGAGTATATCTCTTCATTGTTAATAGACTCACACTGAGTCCCGTAGACTCACACAGAGACACGTAGACTCACACGGAGATCCGTAGACTCACACAGAGACACGTAGACTCACACAGAGACTCATAGACTCACACAAAGACCCAAAGACTAACACAGAGCCCCGTAGACTCACACAGAGATCCGTAGACTCACACAGAGACACATAGACTCACACACCGACCCGTAGACTCACACAGAGACCCGTGACTCACAAATTCCCATAGACTCACACAGAGACCCATAGACTCACACAGAGACCCATGGACTCGCAGAGAGACCCAAAGACTCACACAGAGACCCATAGACTCACACAGAGACACAGACTCACACAGAGATCCATAGACTCACACAGATACCCATAGACTCACACAGAGACCCATAGACTCACAGAGAGACCCAAAGACTCACACAGAGACCCATAGACTCACACAGAGACCCATAGACTCACACAGAGACCCATAGACTCACACAGAGACACATAGAATCACACAGAGACCCATAGACTCACACAGAGACACAGACTCACACAGAGATCCATAGACTCACACAGATACCCATAGACTCACACAGAGACCCATAGACTCACAGAGAGACCCAAAGACTCACACAGAGACCCATAGACTCACACAGAGACCCATAGACTCACACAGAGACCCATAGACTCACACAGAGATCCGTAGACTCACACAGAGACCCGTAGACTCACACAGAGACACATAGACTCACACAGAGATTCGTAGACTCACAAAGTGATACATAGACTCACACAGAGACCCACAGACTCACACAGAGACCCATAGACTCACACAGAGACCCATAGACTCACACAGAGACCCATAGACTCACACAGAGACCCATAGATTCACACTGAGATCCGTAGACTCACACAGAGACCCGTAGACTCACACAGAGACCCGTAGACTCACACAGAGACACATAGACTCACACAGAGACACATAGACTCACACAGAGATCCGTAGACTCACACAGATACCTATAGATTCACACAGAGATCCGTAGACTCACACAGAGACCCACAGACTCACACAGACACCCACAGACTCACACAGAGACCCACAGACTCACACAGAGACCCATAGATTCACACAGAGACCCATAGACTCACACAGAGACCCATAGATTCACACAGAGACCCATAGATTCACACAGAGACCCATAGACTCACACAGAGACCCATAGATTCACACAGAAACCCATAGACTCACACACAGACCCGTAGACTGACAGAGACCCATAGAGTCACACAGAGACACAGATTCACACAGAGACCCATAGACTCACACAGAGACCCATAGACTCACACAGAGACACATAGACTCACACATACTGTCGTTCCTAAGCGCTTGTATATACTGCCGTAAGTACGTTTACATAATCTTGATTTGAAGCTTTCGTGACTGCTTGTGTTGCGATCGAAACGTCGTGATTTATTTTATTGAATACCTACGTGACTTTACTGAAAGAACCGTAGAGTATGTTTATATACTGAAGTTAGCGTTTGTATCGACTGTTGTAAGCGCGTGTACGTACTGTTGTAAGCGCGTGTACGTACTGCCGTAAGCGCGTGTACGTACTGTTGTAAGCGCGTGTACGTACTGCCGTAAGCGCGTGTACGTACTGCCGTAAGCGCGTGTACGTACTGTTGTAAGCGCGTGTACGTACTGCCGTAAGCGCGTGTACGTACTGTTGTAAGCGCGTGTACGTACCGTTGTAAGCGCGTGTGCGTACTGCCGTAAGCGCGTGTACGTACTGCCGTAAGCGTGGGTACGTACTGTTGTAAGCGCGTGTACGTACTGCCGTAAGCGCGTGTACGTACTGTTGTAAGCGCGTGTACGTACTGCCGTAAGCGCGTGTACGTACTGTTGTAAGCGCGTGTACGTACTGTTGTAAGCGCGTGTACGTACTGCCGTAAGCGCGTGTACGTACTGTTGTAAGCGCGTGTACGTACTGTTGTAAGCGCGTGTACGTACTGCCGTAAGTGTGTGTACGTACTGCCGTAAGCGCGTGTACGTACTGCCGTAAGCGCGTGTACGTACTGTTGTAAGCGCGTGTACGTACTGTTGTAAGCGCGTGTACGTACTGTTGTAAGCGCGTGTACGTACTGCCGTAAGCGCGTGTACGTACTGCCGTAGGCGCGTGTACGTACTGCCGTAAGCGCGTGTACGTACTGTTGTCAGCGCGTGTACGTACTGCCGTAAGCGCGTGTACGTACCGTTGTAAGCGCGTGTACGTACTGTTGTAAGCGCGTGTACGTACGTGTCTAATTATATTCGCCTTCGTTCATCCTGTTGAAGTTCATGTTACAACTGTCGTAAGTACATTCATGCCGTACAAATAGTGGAGGGAAGGGCCTTTGCTGTTGATGCCCCCAGGGGTCTGGAATGCTATCGCCAATAAACTGCAACTTGGGTCACCACCTGTGAGATCTTCACTTAAAACTGCTCTAGAGGAGTTGTACACCCCTAGCTGCCACTGCTATTCAGTGGCCTGAAATCAAATGTATCGCTCCGGATTACCGCTGCAAAGTATGATCTTGAGTTTTGGTCATAGTGTGCTGATCTTTAAAGGTGCATTTGAAAAACGTTTATACTGCTACTGATGCTCCTGATGTTGTGGAGTGACTTACGCTTGCTTGTGATTCAAATTTTATTGTAAAATTTGAATCACAGTTCCTATGATCACTGCTACGTTGTTTTTTGTAGCTTTATTTTGGTGATTTCGAAAACGTTTTGGATTAGCCGTGTCTGTTTTGTTGGTGTACAGAGTTAGACTGATAACTTTAATCTGAATTGTCTTCTTGCTGTTATTGTTTGACTTGCATCCCACTGGGATTTTTTTGCTCACAGCGTTGATATACGGTGCTTTTTCTGGAAGACTTGGTGTTTTTTTCCTGGATTTTTCTGCTCGCGCAGTCAGTCACTTTAAGATGTTTCCTTGTTCATGTTTTTGTTTGTTGTGGTTGCACCCGATTCAAGAGCCGTATTGGCTCACAGGGCTATACCTAATAAATTAACTGAACTGAAATGTTCATAAACTGTTGTCGTAGTTACTTAAACGCCGCAGATGTTGATGGGAAGTATGGAAGATAAATATTTCCTCTTCAGATAATACAAACTTTTCATTTAATAAAATCTCGTTTATAAACAGGATAGGGTTACTGTTTCCTTCCGTCTGCTCGCATTTGTATAGATATATAACAAAGACAAAGATCCCCCGTGTAGCCTGTAACAGACTGTTGGGGCAAGTGCTGTTAGTAGTAGCGAGTAGTAGCAGCGCCTACGAAGGCTACGGGCAATGTGGCACACGAGGGGGTGGGTGGCCAGCACCACGTCCGGCCGCCTTTGTCTCCCCAGTGGCGATTTTAACTGCACCAGGTATTAGTCTTGAGGCTGAGTCGACATAGGGGAGGCCCAGGACCGGTTCAGATAATCATCACTGGGTGGTGGCCGTGAGCGGGAATCGAACTCGGGTTCGTAGCGCGGTAGCGCGCTAACCGCTGCACCACCACTCCCCAAACATTACAAAGACAAAGACTCCCCGTGTAGCCTTAACAGACTGTAGGGGGCAAGTGCTGTTAGCGAGCACCTATGAAGGCGGCACGGCAGACGAGGGGGTGGGTGGGCAGCACCACGCCCGGCCGCCTTTGTCTCCCCAGTGGTCGATGTCAGGCCAAGTCCACCTCGGGGAAGTCCAGAACCGATTCAGAACATCGCTATCAATGGATTTTGATGACCGTGAGCAGGAATCATAGCACAGCTTCTTCAATATATCGCGAGGCGGTACACCACATCCTGTATACATCTCCTGTTACGGCTGTAGCTACTCGAGTTATGTTTTCAATCTTGTAACTGTAATGTGCGTATTTAGTTTAAATCTACACGTTGATTTATTTACAGATACCCCACTAAAATATCCGATAAATTAGCGTCCCTCCCGGCCCAAATAATTAACACTTTGCGAGTTTATCTTCATTCTGAATGCCTTGCATTCAGCAGTGGATTAATCATGGCTCACCACAGAGACCCACAGCCTCACACAGAGACCCATAGACTCACACAGAGACCCGTAAACTTACCATAGAGGGACCCATAGACTCATCAAACAGAGACCCATAGGCTCACCAAATAGAGACACATAGACTCACACAGAGACCCATAGACTCACCAATCAGAGACCCATAGACTCACACAGAGACTCGTAAACTTACCATAGACGGACCCATAGACTCATCACACAGTGACCCATGGACCCACACAGAGACCCATAGACTCACAATAGAAACAACCATCGATGCACAATAGAGACACTCATAGAATCACCAAACAGAGACCCATAGACTCAACACACAGAGGCCCATAGACTCAACACACAGAGACCCATAGACTCATACATAGACCCATAGACTCACCATACAGAGACCCATGGACCCAAACAGAGACCCATAGACTCATCACAGAGACCAATTTCTTTAGAACTACTTGTTGCTGTGTTTAGCCATGATGCGAAAGAAATTCAACTTCCATACGTACAGTACACCATAATCATCCTATATACGTAGGTATAAAATAAAAAAATGTCAATTATTTTATTAAATGTTATTTATTTTATTTTCTACCTACGTGACTTTGCCGAAAGAACCAAAGAGTATGGATTCCTGCAGTCACGAAAGCTTCAAATCAAAATCATCCCGATCATAATAATGATGACGATGTCTTCTAAGATCAGGGGTGGGAAAGCCTTTATGTAAAAAATAAATTTTCTTCTTCATTTTTGTCTTTGACCATATTAGTG